CAGGTTTTAGGGTGTCGTAGAACGTTACAGGGTAAAATACAGTGCTAGCAAATTAAATTCTCTGGAATTTCGGCCTGGGTTGGCAGGCAGGTCCCTCAAATTGCAATCAATAAAATTACTGAATTATGTAAAAATATTACATAAATACGCACGTAGAATTTAAATATATATGCATATTTATATATTTGAAGTCTACGTGTATATTTATATAATTATTTATGTAATTTTGTATATGGACATATGTATATTTCTTATTATTTTTATTTATTTTTATATACATAGATATATATACAAATTCATTCTAAGTGTATTTTGATATAAATATATATATATTAATTTTAAAATACAGTTAGAATAAAATTTCATATAGCTATATAATTTTTTAAATTTTTTATTATTATTTAAAAAATTTTTTATTTAATTTAAATTACTTATTATTTATATTTTATAATAATATATATATACAATATATATAGTTATTATATATATTATATATATACGTGTGTAATTTAATTATAAGTGTATTTTTATATTAATATAAGTACATATTAATATAAAAATACACTTAGTATGACATTATATATATGATATATAGACATATATTATATAGATATAATATATGTCTATATATCATATTTATACATATATAATTATTATTATTTTTTTATTACCATTAACTTTAATTTTTTTTTGATTTTACAGTTGCAGGGAGACTGCCTGTCAGCACAGGCAGTCCCCTGCAGGCAGCACTATGGACACCTATTGTGACCATGTGATCGCTGTGTTAAGCGATCACATGGCCACAGGGGTCCTAATCTGCCGTGGGGAGACTGTCTGGGCTGCAGGCAGTCTCCCCACAACCGGAGGAACACTGATCGCCGCCGGGGGAACGACGGCGATCAGGTAAGTACCCCCAGACCGTTAGGACGGTTCAGGACCGTCATCGGTCGGCAATGGGAAAATGCCGATGACGGTCCTGAACCGTCCTCGGTCCTTAAGGGGTTAAATAATTGTATCTCAATCTCTAAATTGAACTTTAATCACATACAGGAGGCTCTTGCAGGGCCTAGCAAGTTATTAACATAGCAGGGGATAAGAAAATCTTAATTAAACAGAACTTGCAATAAAGAAAGCCTAAACAGGGCTCTCTTTACAGGAAGTGTTTATGGAAGGCTGTGCAAGTCACATGCAGGGAGGTGTGACTAGGGTTCATAAACAAAGGGATTTAACTCCTAAATGGCAGAAGATTGAGCAGTAGAGATGTCGTGAACCATTCGCGAACTTCCCGTGAACAGCTCGCCGCAGTTGCGGCGAGCTCCGGTCAGCTGACACATCCCGGCCAATCTCCAGCAGACCCTCCCTCCAAGACAGCATCCATGTTGAAGCCTTCAACATGGATGCTGTCCAGGAGGTGGGAGGGTCTGGGAGGGAGGGTCTGCTGGAGATTGGCCGGGATGTGTCAGCTGACCGGAGCTCGCCGCGAACGGTTCGTGGCGAACCGTGGCAAGCCGTTCGCGAACGGTTCGCGACATCACTATTGAGCAGTGAGGCTGCAGGGGCATGTTCTATACACCAAAACTGCTTCATCAAGCTAAAGTTGTTCAGGTGTCCCTTTAATTCCTACCTGGTACTATAATACTCCAGAATACTTTATTATTTGAATATCATGGGGTTGCTGACCACCAGCCTCTGGAGTGCAATAATTTGTTTGAGCAGATATTATGGCGATATTCTATTAATTATTTGTGCTTGGATATTACCCATAAGTAAATGCTGCCGGGTTTGATCAAGAATAAGGAAATTTGTTTCATACTTTCCTAGCTAAAAAGACTCATGCGTCCACCCAGTTTAGTCTCTCATATTTGATTTTTGCTGTTGCTCCAAAAGAAAGCAAAAAAAAAAACAGCCTGAAGCACATCCACTTGTGCAACGAACTAGGAAAAAAATTCCTTCTTAACCCTATAATTGCAGTCAGATATCACCTTGGATTAAGGAGCTATTACTCCTCTAATCAAAAATTATATCCCTGTTTATTATGTTTTTGCAAGTATTTATCCAATTGCTGTTTAAACATTTGTATAGACTCTGATGAAACCACCTCTTTATGCAGAGAATTCCACATCCTTACTGTAAAAAACCCTTTCCTTTGCCATAGACTAAATCTCCTTTCTTCCAGTCTAAGTGTGTGACCTCTTCGCCTCTTTATTGTCTTATTTATGAATAGATTTCTGGTTTGTACTGGCACCGGATATAATTGTATAACGTTATCATATCCCCTCTGAGGCACCATTGTGCCAAACTGTAACCGCAGGTGGTTCCCTTATTTACCACTATAATGTCTTAAAGCATAAAACTTAGTAGGGCTAACCATACAGATATCTTTGCCATAATTTTATATAGTTAGTAGGAGATCCTCTATTTAACATATATAAATAATTGAGAATACAATATAAAATAAGGATTGTCTTGGAAGCAGTAGTTTTGTCTTTTTTATATTTATTATATAAAAATATAAATATAAAATCCATTATAGCAGAGTTTATAAGATTAAATTACATGCTTGCAAATGTCATCATGTCAGCCTCTCTGTCATTTTAAGATGGAGCAGCGTCTGTCTCCAAGTCTCTCCTCTGTTTCTTAACATTTAAAAGTACACCTATTTATACCTTAGGTGTCTCCGTTTTAGGGTTACCGTAGTTCAAATATGAAAAAGTAACACTTCTTTTACTTTATTCATTTTAGGACCTCACTTAACTTGGCAAACATACAAGACCATAACTAAAGGGTGTATACGTCATGGAAATTTTCCTGACGTAGTTCAAGATGGCATTTTAAAGTCTGGACATCCTTATCTACTTAGGGTTACCACAGTATATTGTGTACTGAAAGAGTCGTAGCATAGCCTTGAAGCTTGTTTATGCATTATTGTTATTGTAATTCGTCTGTGACAAAATGGCGCAAATATATTATGCACTGAGGTTATTGCTTAAAGAAACATCTATGAAAAACAATATGTTCCATTTCTAACACCTTGTCAATTTGCAATATCTCTTAAAGACAAAGTACACAGTTTAAGAAATACAATATTTCATTCTAAAACTTGTAATATTTGCATTTACCCATAACAAAACTAAAGAGATTTACTTTTGCTAACCTCTCTTCTTAACGAAAATGCTCCATTCCTACCAATTTTGTAGCCCGCATCTGCACTTTTTCTAGTGCCATAATATCCTTCTTTAGAACAGGTGCCCAACATGGCACAGCATATTTAAGATGTGGTCTTACCAGCGATTTATAAAGAGGCAAAATTATATTTTCATCCCGACAATACCTTACTGACATTAGCAACTGTTATTTGACATTGCATATTGTTGCCTAGTTTATCTTCTATAATAATAGTTCCCAAATCCTTTGCATTTGTTGCTATCCCCAATTCACTACCATTTACGGTGTAGGTTGCTTGTGCATTCTTCACCCCCCAGTGTATAACTTTGCATTTTTCCACAATAAACTTAATTTGCCATTTGAGTGCCAGTCCCCCAATCTATCTAAATCCCTCTGTAGCAAAGCAATATTTTGCTCACATTGTATTCTTTTACAGAGTTTTGTGGCATCTGCAACCTCTGAAACATGACTTTCAATGCCTATTTCAAGATCATTTATAAATATGTTAAATAGAAGTGGTCCCAAAACAGACCTCTAGAAGACTTGACTTACCACTTTTGTTGAGCTTGAAAATTTACCATTTATGACAACTCTCTGAGCTCTATTTTTAAGCCATTGTCCTATCCAAGAAGAAGAATTTTCATCTAGACTAATTTATTTTAGTTTGCACACTAACCCATTATGAGGAATCGTATAAAACTCTTTGGCAAAATTCAAGTAGATCACATTCCTTGCAACACCCTAATTTATACTTCTACTTAGTTTTTCGTCAAATGCAATTAAGTTAGTTTGCCATGAGCTATGTTTCATAAAACCATGCTGATTATTGCTAATAACATTGATCCTCCCAATGAATTCCTGAATATTATCCCTTAATTAGCCTTCAACTACTTTCCCAGCCACAGATGATAAGCTCACAGGTCTATATTTCCAAGCAAAGATTTTGAACATTTTTTGAATATAGGAACCTCATCTGCCTTCCTCCAATCCTTTGGTAAAATGTCTGAAAGAAAAGAATCTTGAAAGATTAAATACAAAGGTTCACTTATTCCCACACTTGGCTTCTTAAATGGACACCGTAAGCACTGTATCTGCTTCATCTCATTAAACTGGTTATAGTGTCTGGACTCCCTGGTACCATCATTTCTTTCAGCATTAAACAGTTTTTAATGTTTTAATGCTAAATAAGAGTCCCCAGCAGTGCATCCCCTCTGTGCTGCTTTGGCTAATAGGGAAATATTAGCCTGAGCAGCAATGGGCAGCTGTGATTGGCTGAGTGTGTCAACTGAATGCTTTTAGCCAGACAGAGCTCCAACTGACGGTATGAAAACAATGAAGTGTGTAATCTCTGCCTTAGCTACACATACTGAGCTCTGTGGGTGGCCAGGGACTCTTTTTTTGTGGCATACTGCACAAACATGGTGCAACACTGAATGGAGGGACAGTGCCAGGGCACTCCAGACACAACCAATTCAAAGAGAGGAAATGGTTATAGTGACTACAGTGTCCCTTTAAGTATTTGTGGGTAATTACCGTCAGGCTTTGGCACTTTGTTATTGTACTTTTCTTCTCCTGATCATTATACATGGCAGCATTATGTTCCCAACCATCTACTTTGAGAGTTGTGAAGCTAGTTACAAAGACTGCCTGATGGAGTGGATCTATTTATACCAATTTCAGAGTTCTATTTCCTGTCCTTTCTGCTGTGAGGGAAGGAGCTAACCCATACCTAAATGCTGTCATGTATAATAATCAGAGGGGGTGGGGGCGGGGGGGGTTACAGTAAGTATGAAACAGTTTTCCTTATTATTTTTTTGTAAATTCTTTATTTTGGTGTTTTTTCAGTTTTTCAAAGAAGTTGGGGTACAGAATGAAGATAAGGGGTGGGGTAGCAAACATTGCAGTTACATTGGAGTATAGTAGCTTAGTACACTGTAGGTTATACAACTTATTTACAGCGATTGTACTTTTGTTCATTTTAGGACCAGAGTGGTCTGCCTCTCGGATCTTCACCCTCTTCTTGCTTGGAGAGGTTCTTTTGAATGTGTTGTTGTATGTCCTAGCTTGTGGAGTCGGAGTGGTTTTTGTAGCGTCCATGTCTCCTAGGGTGTGTGGATTTTGTGGTTTGTAGGGTGTACTTTTGTCGGTGTCGTGTGCTTGTGTTTCGTGGGGAGGCAATGAGGGGTTTCCGTTTGTCCGTTGTGTGACCCTTCGTCCTCTCTGGTCTTTGTCTGTAGGGTGATGTGTATATGTGCTGTGGGTTAGGTGCTTTTTGGTGTCTCAGGTTTTTGTCTTGTCTTCGTTTTTTGCTATGGGGGTTTTGGTGTTTGCTCTTGAAGGTGAGTTTGGGTTGGGTCGGGGTTCTAGGTCGTGTAGTTGGGATGTGGTGAGTTTCACGGTATGCTGATGTGGTGTCTTAGTGAGCTTGGTTGATCGTTCATATGGCCTGGTATGTGGGGGTGGGCTGGGAGGAAAGGGGGATATTGATGGGGTGGAGGGAGTAGGCTGGGGTAGGGGAGGTAGGATCCCTGTCAGGGCTGTTTGCTATTTTTTGGGGGGGTGAGTTCAATTGGGGGGACGTTCGTAGTCCTCTGTTCCTCCTTTTACTTAAGTGGTAGGGGTTGTTGGATCCATGGATCCCATATCTTATGGTAGTGTTGTGTCGTGTCGTGTAGCAGTGCCGACAGTTTGTCCATTTCCATGGCTTCATTCATTTTCCTGATCATAGTGGTTAATTGGGGTGTATTTTGGTTGCCCCACTGTTCTCCTATCGTGTGTCTGGTTGCTAGTGCCATTCTTGCTATCAGTTTGTTTTGGGCTCTGGTAAGGGGGCTGTGTGGTTTGGAGAGTAGCCACACCCAGGGGTCCCTGGGTATGTCCACATCAAGTATGTTAGATGCCAGTGTGGTCACTTTTTCCCATATTTGTGAGGTTTGTGGGCATTCTCACCAAAGGTGGATGTAGGTGCCCTTTTGCCCACAGCCCTTCCAGCATGAGTCCGTGGTTGTCCGGCCCATTTGTCTCATTCTCAGGGGTGTGAGGTACCACCTGAGTAGAGTCTTGTATGCCTGCTCCTTGTGATTCACACATATGGTGAGTGAGGCCGTAGCCTCCCATATGTCCGACCAATCTGATGGGTCCTCTGGGGGGCCTATGTCTCTTTCCCACGCCTTCGTGTATGAGAGGGTGTCTTCTGGGGAGTTGGCATTTAGGAGGAGGTATATGGTAGAGATTTTTCCCTTTTGCATGGGTGCGTGTAGGCATGTTTTTTTAAATTAGGTTGGCCCAGCGGTGGCAGCTGCCTTGTTGTGTGGTTCAGTGAGGAAGCTGCGTATCTAGAGGTATCGAAAGTGGTCAAATGTGTTTAGTGGGGTCTGTCTGGGCAGGTCTTGGAAGGGTCGGAATTGTTGGCCTTGGAAGAAGTGGAGGAATCTGTATAGCCCATTGTCCTCATATCTCACAAAGTCTCGAGGCGATAGGCCTGGGGGAAATTGATTGTTTCTCAGAATGGGTGTGAGAGGTGATGGTTTGTTAACTATGGGGTTCTTAGAGATTGTGGTGTCCCAGATGTGAAAGGATGTTGTTAGGGAGGGGGTGGTTCGTGGAGTTGGTGGTCTGTCTTTCTTGGGCACCCAAAAGAGTAGTGGTCTCGTGTCAGGAGGTCATGTTCCAGGTCCACCCATAGCTTGAGCCCCGGTTGTGCGTGTAGGTTCTGTATCAGGGCTAGTTGGGCTGCCTGGTAGTAGTGGTAAAAGTTTGGGAGGCCTGGTGGTTTTATACATTGTGGCTCTTTTGATGCGTGGCCTTTTATTGTACCAAATGAATTTGTCTATGTTAGTTTGGAGTGTTTTGAAGTCATGTTTGGATATGGGTATGGGAAGAGTTTGAAATAAGTATAGGAATCGTGGGAGTAGGTTCATTTTTATGGAGGCTATTCGCCCCAGCCACGATATGGACATGGGGCCCGATGTTTGTAGGTCTAGGTGTGCTTGGCGGAGTAGTGGGGTGTAGTTCAGGGCATAGGTTTTGTTGAGGTCTGCGGGGAGATGCGTTCCTAGGTAGTGAATGCTTTGCAAGTTGTATCTAAATGGGTGGGTTGATTTTATGTGTTCAAGAGTTGGCTGCTGTATCCCTATTGGGAGGGCTTCCGTTTTTTCTAGGTTTAGTTTGTATCCCAATAGGGTTGCGTATTTTTGTAGAATTGTCAGTAAGGGTGGGAGGGATTGGGTAGGGTCCATGATCGTGAGTAAGATATCGTCCGCATAGGCTGCTATTTTATATTCTTCATTCCTGACCTTGATACCTTGTATTTCTTGTTCCCTACGTATGTTTTGGAGGAGGGGTTCAAGTGATAGGGCGAACAGGAGTGGGCAGAGCGGGCAGCCCTGTCTTGTCCCATTTTTAATTGTGAATTCTGGGTATTTGGCGTTTGGTATGAGGAGTGTGGCAGTTGGTTGGGCATATAGGGTCTGTAAGGCTTGAAGAATGGGTGATGGGAATTTGAATCTTTGGAGGGTGGCGAATAGGAATGGCCATAGTATGCGATCAAAGGCCTTTTCCGCATCCATTGATAAAAGAAGGGTTGGGATTTTCCTACTTTGGGTACCCATATTAGATCTATCATGCGTCTTGTGTTATCCCCTGCCTGTCTTGTGGGTATGAAGCCCACCTGGTCGGGATGTATTCGCTTTGGGAGGAGGGGTTGTATTCAGTTAGCTAAAGTTTTTGTGATTATCTTTGTGTCCACGTTGAGTAGCGATATGGGTCGGTAGTGGCCTGGGTCGAGATGTGTTTTGTCGGATTTTGGTATAAGGCAGATGTTTGTTCTGAGCATCTCCTTTGGGAGTGGGTCCCCCACTTTAGTAGTGAGTTCCTTAGAGCTGTGAGATGGGGTATGAGAGCATTTGCGGATGTCTTATAGTATAGGCCTGTGAAGCCGTCTGGTCCGGGGCATTTGTTGGGTTTGATTGTTTTTAATGTATTGGCGATTTCTTCTGTCGTGAAAGGGGCTGAGAGCATTGCTATTGCGGTGTCCATTAGGGATGGGAGGGGGTGTTTTGGAGGTATAGTTCGATGTCTTGTTTTAGGGTTGGAGAGGGGTCTGGATTGTGGTCATAGAGTGATCTAAAGTAGTTAGAGAATATCGATGCTATGTGGCTGCGGTCTTTGTGAGTGTTACCCCCCCAGGGATTTTATTTCAGTGATCCGTTTAGTTTGTGTTTTTTGGCAGAGTTTGCGGGCTAGGAGGGTGTCTGTCTTATTTGATTTCTCATAGAAGAGTTGTTTACTCCATTGGAGGGCTTTTAGTGAGTCTTTGGTCATATATGATTTGATGGCCTGTTGGTGGGTTTTTATTTGGGCTGATAGTGTTGGGGTGGGGTGTCGCTTATGTTGAGCATCTAGGGTCCTAAGGGTAAGTAAATGGTCCTCGAGTTCCTTTAGTTTTAGTTTTTTGTGTCTTGTGGCTTCTGCAATTAGTTTGCCTCTTATGACGGCTTTGTGAGCCGTCCAGAGTGTTCCTATAGCCGTCACTGAGTTTTGTTTATATCGAAGTATTCTTTAAGTGCGTCTTGTATGGTTTGTTTTATCTCAGGTTTGTGCAGTAAGGTGGGGTTTAGACACCACGACTAAGATCATGCTGTCTGTGGGATTGATAGTGTGAGGGATATCGCCGCGTGGTCAGACCACGTGCTTGTGCCTATCGTTGTTGTGATATCTTGGGTGAAGAGTGAGGGGGAGACCAGAAACAGGTTGATCCTCGAGTAGGAAAGATGGGGGTTGGAGTAGAAGGTGAAGTCTGCTAATGTAGGATTTTGTATTCTCCAGATGTCAAGGAGGCCTGATTGGAGTATAAAGGTCGAGAGTAGTTTATCATTGGCCGACGTTTTGGGCATTGTTGTGGTATTTTGTGGATGGCGTTTTTAGTCCTGTTGGGGTGCTGGGACTGCATTGAAATCCCCTCCTAGGATCATGTGGTGGGAGGGGAATAGCTTTAGATGTGCCCGTAATGCTGACCAGAAGGGTGGGTCTGGGGTAGTGGGAGCGTAGATAGTCGTTAGTGCGTATTTGTGTGTTCCGTGGTGGCCCGCTATTGTTAGGAATCTGCCCTGGGGGTCAGCGGTGGTTTGTTTGAAGCTAAAGGGGCATGTATTGTGAATTAGTATCGCTACTCCGTTTCTTTTTCCGTTTGGGGAGTTAACAAGGTGGTATTCCTTGTATTGTCCGTTTTTAAGCGGGAACGGTATTGCTGCATCAAAATGAGTTTCTTGGAGGAATATTATGTCAGTCCCTGTTCTATTGGCCCATCGCATTAATTGATGGCGTTTAGCGGGGTTGCTTAAGCCCGTGCAGTTAAGGGAGATGCATTTCAGTTTTCCCATCTCTGGTGGTCCGTGAGAGTTGGGG